ATTTATTTACTCATTCTCAGGCTCTCATAGGGTCTAGGCTAGTCTTGAATTCTTATAGACACTATGTCACCAAAGACAGTGTTAAACTCCTTTGACTCTTTGTTTTGTTTTGGTTTTTTCAAGACAAGGTTTCTCTGTAGCTTTGGTGCCTGTCCTGGAACTAGCTCTTGTAGACCATGCTGGCCTTGAACTGACCGCCTCCACCTCCTGAGTGCTGGGATTAAGGGTGTGCGCCACCACTGCCTGGCTACTCCTTTGACTCTTTAGTGTTCCAGTAATAAGTATACACCCTCATGCCTGGTCCCCCTCCCCGCCCCTCCCCATGTTCATTGGTGTTTGTCTGCACGTATGTCTATGTGACAGTGTCAGATCTTGGAGTTAGAGACAACTGTGAGCTGCCATGTAGGTGCTGGGAATTGAACCTCAGTCCTCTGGAATAGCAGTTAGTACTCTTAACCACTGAGCCCCATGCCTGGCCTTTTGCAGAAGACCCAAGTCTGGTTTCACAATGGTCTATAACTCCAGTTCCAGGGAATCTGATGCCATCTTCTGATGTCTGTATCTCCACACACATATGCAAAGAAGGGTTTTTTTTTTTGTTTGTTTGTTCGATTTGATAAAGTTCCCACTGTGTAGCCTTGGATAGCCTGGAAACCCACTATACAAATCCAGTTGGCCTTGAACTCATGGAGATGCAACTGTCTTTATCTCTGTATGCTGAGACTAAAGACATGTACCATCCCAGTAAAAAAAAATTTTAAAATCTTAAAAAAATAAGAATCTTAAAATTTGTACTTTTTAAATAAATATATTTTTATTCTTAAAAACTTTCTTGAGGGGCTGGGGAAATGGCTCAGTGATCAAGAGTACTTATGGCTCTTGCAGAGGACCTGGGTTTAGTTCTTGGCACCCACATGTCTGTAAATTCAGTTGCAGGGTATCTGACACTCTCTTCTGACCTCCATGGGCACCAGGCATACATGGGGTACACATACACTTATTCAAGCAAGACATTATATACAAATAAAAATAAAAGCTTTTTTGAGACAGAACCTAGTATGTCTCGGGAGGGCCCTCAACGCCTACTCTTCCTGCCTCCACCATTGCTAGGGTTACCAGCATGGGACACTATGGCTAGCCTAGTGCTGGGATTAAAGGTCTGCACCTGGCTGAACTTACTTTAGTTATGAAGAGTGCTACTGGGCTGGAGAGATGGCTCAGAGGTTAAGAGCACTGCCTGTTCTTCCAAGGGTCCTGAGTTCAATCCCCAGTAACCACATGGTGGCTCACAACCATCTGTAATGGGGTTTGGTGCCCTCTTCTGGCCTGCAGGCATACACACAGACAGAGTAAATAATTTTTTTTTTTTTTTTTAAAAAGAGTGCTACCAAAGACTCTGATGGTTAAGATCTGACTCACAAGTCTGCATTCTTTTTAGTTAAGCTATTTGGTAGCTGTCAACCACAGTTTCATATTTTCCTGTGTTCTCAAGATCCCTCATCTGGGAGCATTTTCCCAGCCCCTTCTGAATGCCACTCTTAATTTTTTTTTATTTTAGATTTACTGATTTTTATGTTTATGGGTATTTTGTTTACATGTGTGTGTGTGCAGTGCCCATGGAGGCCACAACAGAATCCTCTGAAACTGGCATTACATACAGTCATGTGGGGGCTGAAAATTGAATTTGGGCCCTCTGAAAGAGCAGCAAGTTCTTTTAATCACTGAGCCATCTCTCCAGAACGTTTTATTTTGAGTATTATCAACATCATCATTATTATTATTTTGGTTCTTTTTCCCTATGTAACCTTGGCTGCTCTAGAACTCACTCACTCTGTAGTTCAGGCTGGCCTTGAACTCACAGAGATCCTCCTGCCTCTGCCACCCAAGTGCTGGGATTAAAGGTGTATGGCACCACCGCCCACCTTTTTTTTATAATGCAGTTCAGCAACAAATTTTATTACTAGAACAAGATAATCCTCTGAGGTGACTAACCAGATAAGGCTCCTCCTTAGCATTTGAGTCTGACTTTTTGTCTGATTTAGGCTATCAGTGTACCGCAGCCAGGTACTGTCCCTGCAGATGAGCCACCAAACATGGAACTCAGGAGGGGAGGATAAAGGTTTGTGGGAGCTGACAGGTTAGCCAGGGGCACTCTAAGATGATCTCTGTAAAGGATCAAAGGTTCCAAATGAAATACTGGAGACTCTGAGGAGGCCTGACCAGGACACAGTGTGCTCGTGAAGACCTACAGTAGGTCAAGGTTGTGATGATTCTCATTTTGTTTCCATCTGGGAAACAGAGGGTCTTCCTTCAAGGGTTGGGGAGGGGTCTGTCATACCTGTAATGCAGGGGGACCAGGTAGAAGTTGGCTAACTGCACAGCAGGCCAGAGCTAGAGGAAGAAAATGTGAAGGTCAGGGGGTGCTGCTACCTGATCACCAGCCTGGCCCCGCTCCACAAACCACACATAAGAACGGCTGGAGGTAGGTGCCTCCCTGAACAAGGTACCCATGTGGGAGACTGATCCCAATAGAGGGATTCCTATGTGATGAGCCCCAGTCTTAGAGAAGCTCTAGTCTAATGGAGGCAGAACAGATAGCGGAGGATCAGCTCTTACATAGTAGTTAGTGATGAGGGCATCAGGGTAGTCCTGCAAAGACAGAGGGAACAGGTAACACGCATATATTGTCCTTGCATGAATATCACCACAGACTCTGTTCCAGGAAGACACTCCCACCCCAACTCCCCTAGGCTCCTTTTCTCCCAAGACTCTCCTTGCACAACGCTTGTGCCTGCCTCCAAACCTTGGGGCAGCTAGCCTGCTAGCCAGAGAGTCACTTACCCGCTGTAGTTTGGCCCAGTTGTCCTGGGCTGACATTCCATTGAATACTCCTACCAGGGGGAGGAAACAGCCTAGAAAACATGGGGCAAAGGCCCCCTGGGGAAGGGGAGTCAAGGGTAAGCTGTGAGGGCCCAGAACCAGGCTCTCCCCAGATCCCTTTTCCTCAGCTCACCTGATCTAACAACATCTTCTTCAGTGCATCCACCTTGGTGGTGCCGGGGATAAGACGGTCTAAAACCTTATACCAGCCTCCGACAACAGGGCCCTAGGAGTAAAAGACAGGGCAGCAGGGCACAGTGACAGAGACCCTTGGCTCTTATATCACAAAGTTCCTCCCCAAGGCACCAGAAACCAAATCACGAGGAAGGCAAACTCGAAGACAAAAAGAGAGCACAGGCTGGCCTAGGTGTGAGAGGCCGAGGGAACTACAGGGTGGCAGAGAATGAATGCCACTGCCCGAGGCACTGCAGTCCCACCGTAAGCAGAACTTACCACAAAGCCACAGCCCATGGACACCATGGTCAGAGTCCGGCCTGTCTGGTGTTCCTGGAGACCCCGCCTCTCCACCAGCTGCTGTGAGATAATGTCACCTAGGCCCATCAGTGACCCTGTGTAGGGCACACAGGTGTTGTCAGGACATCTCCCAAAAGGTAAGTCTGTTGACCAAACAAGGCTCGGCACCCTGAGGCCCAGGGCTTTGTTCTGGCAAATGACCAGCCCCTTCTGCTTCTTGAGGATGGTGACACCATTCATGTGTCCTATCAAAAACTGGATGAGGAGTGTGGTGGCACACGCATGTCTGACATCCCAGCACTTAAGAGGCAGAGGAAGGAGGGCTGCTGAGTTTGAGACCAGCCTGGGCTACATAGGGAGTCCCAGGACAATCAGGGGTATACAGTGAGACCACAGTTTAAAACAAACAAACCATGAAGGAAGTGGGGGCAGAGAAAGAGAGAGGGAAGTGGGAGTCAGAAAAGCAGAGGAGATGAGCAGGCCAGGATCTATGAACACACAGTTGTAAGGGAACCAGGGCTGAAACCCCAGATAAAAGGGAAACCTAAAGTCTGTGGCTAAGAACTGTAGAGACCAGAATTGAAAGGAATTCATAGAGTTGATAATAGAGCTTGACTCCTAGACGCTATTCTTTTGAGGACCCCAAAATACTTACAGATTATGTGCAAGAGAATAAGGAACAGCCTCTTTCCTGCCAGCTCGAAGCTAGCCTCTAGCCAATGTCTTTCGCTTTGGGTGTAGGGGTCTCTACTGGTAGATAACAATATGAATAACTCTTTCTAAAATGTGCCCAAACAGAGCCAGAAAAACAGCTGCCTTGCTTGGATGATCAGAGCCTCCTTCACAAGGAAGAGTCCTGGCCACCTATTACACACACCGGAAGACAAGCCCAGACTCCCCCTCGGCAACAGGGATTGGGGTCATTTCCCTTCAGACCTCTGCACCTGCTTCCCCTCCCCTAACTGCATAGATTGCCCACTCCTAGAAGCCAAGACAGATTTGGAATCATTACTATTTAGAGCCTAGAGCTTGTCATGAAGGCGTGATGGTTTCTAACAAACAGTCAAGGGGCCGCGTGTGAGTGACCGCATGATCTCCAGCTCACCCATCCATCTTATCAGGTAATGAAAGTCCCCTCTATCCCAGAAGCCACCGCTCTTCACATGCCCTCAATTAGAGCTGGGCAAACACACCCTTCAACCCTATTTCTTGGTCTGGAGCTGGCTCTGACGTCCATGCTGGCTGCAGCTCTACCCCCACACACTCTCAGGCCAACCTAGCCAGAGGCGGCTGGAGAAGGTAGGAGCAAGAGCTGGTGATGGGCGACCCTTGGTGACCCAGGTGACTGGACATCAGGCAGCTCTTCCTCAGCATCCCATCAAGTCCACGCTGCCTCTTTCCCCTGAATCTCCCCCAAACAGTGAGACATGGCCTCCCCAAGGGCACGGACAGAATTCCTGGAGGTTGGGGGAGGGGTTAATTGGCCAGAACAGATTCCTAGAGATTTTTTTTGTCAGTCTCTACACCTAACCATGTCCCTAATAGGAGCTCAGAAAATAGTCAAACAACTTACAACCCCAAACAACGAGGTTGTTTGGGGGAAGGGCACAAAGAACTCTAAACTCATTGGTTAGTGGTGGGGCACGCGTTTAATCCCAGCACTTGGGAGGCTGAGGCAGGTAGATCTCTGTTAGTTCGAGGCCAGCCTGGTCTACAAGAGCTAGTTCCAGGACAGGCACCAAAGCTACAGAGAAACCTGGTCTTGAAAAACAAAACAAAACAAAACAAAACAAAAAAGAACTCTAAGCTCAACCTGAAGAACTGTGTCAGGCACAAAGTGTTAGGCTGTCAGGGAACCCAGAGTGTGCTCCCTGGTCCCAGGCAGTTAGACTTCCTTCAGCCCCACCGCTTCCCAATGCGTGGCCATCAGCTGTGTGCTCAAGGCTGTCTTCAGTACTCTCTCCTGGACTATGTATAAAGGGAAAAATGACCCCAAGAAGGCTGAAGGCACTTGGAAAATGAAGGGACAATCCATTTTGACAAGATGGTGAGCGTCTACAAAGGACTCAATCCTCACAAGAGGTCTGGGAAGTCCGTATGTCCATCTAACTAAAGAGTCTCTGAAACATGGAGTGACTGAGTGAGGTGTAGAGTTTGGATTAACTTAAGCCAGGGGAGCAAGGCCAGAGCACAGGCAGAGGCAGGCTAAGAGGCCATGGGCTACCAAAGGCTCCTACCCAAGTAATGTCTAGAAGGCTCGCATATCAAAGAAGTTTCCTGGGCAGGCATGATGCCCATGCCTGTAATCTCAGTTCTTAGGAGACAGAGGCCAAGGATTGTTTCAAACTCAGAGAGCCTGGTCTATATTGTGAGTTCTAGGCCGGACAGGGCTAGGTGCTTGAGACCTTGTCTCAAGCAAAACCAAACTTAAAAAATAGGAAAACAGACAAATAAGGGGTTAGAGAGATGACTCTAGTTATCACTTAGAGTTCGTGCAGAGGCCCGGACTGGGTTCCCAGCACTCACATGGCATCTCACAACCATTTCTAATTCCAGTTTGCACACACATTTAAGAACACTAAAAAGCTTACTTTGTTCTCATGCACTTCTGTATTATTCCCCAGACTACAATCCCCTTTGTTCCTTGTTACCCATAGGGAGGGCAGGCAGCAATATTCTTAGAAAACAGAGACGCGTATATTTTCTCTCCTCATGACTTATCAGTAGTCATACAAGCTAAGGGCAGAACTCGCATGAAAACCAACTTCCTGATGCCATGGTTCTGGAAGCCTTCAGTCATTGAAAAAGGCCTACCTGCGGTGTTCTGGTATCCACGAGAGTAAGTAGAGCCCCCTCTCATTGGTTTTTGTCTGTTTGTAGGGATGAGCCCATGGCGTATTGATGATTAGTAGCCCGTGTGTGTCTATACTTAGACTGTCTGCTCCTGGACGGCAGGTGGTTGGGGAAGAACTCAACCCTTTAGTTAAGGTGTATCTGTTATATGGTATGTGGCGACTGTAGTTCCTGATTGCTTAAGGTGCTTTGATAAACTTCCTTTGGGGATGTGGCCTGCACAGACTCGCAGACAGTTGTATATGGCACCTGCTATTCCTTTTCAGCACATGTTAAGAGCAGGGAGCGAGGCTGGCACATATGAACACTGTATGAGCATATCTCTAGCCCAAACCTTTGAGGCTAGGTCCATCAGCCTGAGGCAGAACCAGGTGACATGCCGCCTTCAGAGCGATGAGGGGAAGAGGGACTGCAGACCCACCCAGGTCTGTCCATTTCTGACAAAACTGCGCCCTGAAGCTTGTCTTCTGTTCATAGGAGCTTATGACCACTGGACCTGCAGCAACTCCAGGATGGCCAAAGACTTTGGTCTATGCCAAGAGCAAGGCCTGCATTCCTGGTCCAAGTGAGCCTTCAACAGGAAGGACTCAAACATTCAGGTTCTTTATCCTATTTTCTCCAGCCCAGACCCCAGACCCCAAAGCTCTCCAATACGTGGTTAACAATGGTGTAGGGATCTGCTTCCTCTCTTCTTGGATTTGAGGGTTGGAAGCCTCCAAATACATAATGTCCAGAGCCCTGGTGGGACAGGGTGAGAGGTTGCTGGGCAGTGGTGCCCCAAAGCCAGGCTGGGCAAAGAGCCTAGTGAGTAGACACTGGTTCTGAGTATGACATCATGCCTCTGGGTAGATGCCAGGTCTCATCCGTCACTCCCCACTGGATCTAGGGGGTGGCGGGGCGGGGGAGAGATGTTTGGCTCTGAACACAGATCTATTTGAAACCATCCCCTTCCTGCCCATCAGTGGAAAAGCCCCAACTTTCCCAACCCTCTCCCAAGACTCCTGCTTCCCTTCGTTCCTCAACTTGCTTTTGGAAAGGGTCATATGTGCAAGAAAATAAAGTATTAGCAGAAGAGAAGATGCAGGTGGACCGGAAGTGGCTTCCTGGAATGACAGGGATGTGTGCTTTTAAATATGTGAGGTGGGGGTCTGCAGGTAAAGATATTCCTGGCACAGAGCCAACAGTGCTGCTGACTAAGGGGCCTGCTAGCTGGTGCAGGAATTTGACCTGGCCTAGGGCCCAGGGGCAGCTCAAGGTCTACCGAGGAAGGGAGGCATAGTCCCTGGAATGGGTCTAAGTACTCAGCTCACTCCTGTCCACAAGAATCCTATTGAAGAAAACGAGACAACACGGCCAGCTCTACAGCTTCTCATGCTTAAACCCAGCTGGACTGACACTCAGTGCCCCAAGGCTCCAGGATCTCAAGTACAGACCTGGAGTACAGGTAGCAGTACCCAGACTCTCATGCCAGGTCTAGAACGGCGTTGAGACCTAAGCACATGTCACACCCTGCTTATGCCTCTGTTTCCCTTTCTGCAGTAACAAGGCCTCTAAGACTTACATTCTGGCTTAATTCAGGTTCCAAGAAATCAGTGCCTACAGTTTAGCTGTTCTGGTGGCCTGCGATGGATGGAACTGGGCCCTGGGCTCTGGGCCCACTGCAGACTGGAAGAGCCCTCCAGAAAGGAAGGGACGAAGCTGACTCAGACTGCAGAACACAGACAACCTTTCCCCCAGGCTGCCCTGGTCGTGACTATTAGCCACTTCCGCTGAACCATTGCAGATCTTGATGCATCCACCTACTGCTCTAGTCATGACTGCAGCTGAAACAGACAGGCTTCCTTCAGGCCTGCCACACCTGGGGTCTCACTGTTAGTGCCTTTGGGGACTACACATGAGTGAAAAGGTAGTAGAGGAGTTAACTGTTCCCCGGGGTGAAATGCTGTCCAGTGCAGAGTGGAAATCAGTGGATTAAGGCCTCTTCTCCAGAAATGACTTCATCCGATAAGGCATTTCAAATTGCTCCTTGGTCACTTCCAAGGTACGGAGCCACAAGAAGTCCTGAAGGGCAGCTGATTTAACAATGCGCCTGTCACACCTGCTCTCCCTCTTGCCCTCAGGAAGGATCACTTTCTAATCTGCCCATAAGCTTTAGGCTCTGCTGTTCGGAAAACCAGGGCTAAGATACTTATCTGTAAGCTGGGCATGGTAAAGTCTATGATCTAGGCTCACGAAAGGCTCAAGTGGGAAGACTGAAGAGTTTGAGGCTAGCCTGAGCTAGACAGTGAGTTTAAGGCAAGCCTGGACTACACAGTGAGATTCTGATTGAAAATAACAGCTTTTGGGGCTGGACGGATGGCTCAGTGGTTAAGAGCCCTGACTGCTCTTCCAGAGGAAGCAGGTTCAATTCCCAGCACACACATAACAGCTCACAACTGTTTCTAACTCCAGTTTCAGGGGTCTGACACCCATGGCAAAACACCAAAGAACATAAAATAAAAATAAATAACTTAAAAAAAAAAGAACCTGCTGTACATGGGTTACCAACAATCATAGAAAGGGCCAAGTCCTCGAACCTTTAAAAAAGTTCCAGTCAGTTCAGGAGAGAACTGACTTCACACGTCAGCCATGTGTGCGCATGCACACACTAAATAATATTTAAAAAAGTAGATGGTACAAAAGGATAAGCATATCCTCTAGAGAGCGTGGTTGCCCAGCATGAGACTGTGGCTTCCATTTTAGCACTGTTAGTAGATAAATAAAAACACTTCCTTAGCTTCTTCTCAGAGATAACTCCTGTAACTGACCTTTAAGTTCTAATTGAGGAAACTGAGGCGCAAAGCGCTTTATTGACGTGGGCTAATTAGGCCGCTACTAAGTGCCGTGCTCTGAGATTCAGATCTCGGCCTTCTCGTTCCAAGTCTGAGATTTCTGTTCTGTTTCCGTGTGAGCTCTCCCATGGGACCTCTGCAGCCACTGTGCTCAGAAAACAGTCCAAGATGAGCTAGTGAGCTAAGTCCACCCACCCATTACTTGCAGGTTGATCCAAATAACCCGGGCAGCAAGGAAGTCTGAGGGAAATGCTAGGAGGCTGCAGGTTGCTCCAGGACCACGTAAAGATGCTACTGCATACATATGAGACCACGTATGAGATACATACACATGGGACCACGGAAAGAGCCTAGCAAGACACACCAGGCACTCCAGTTAACCCTAATTTTGCACTTGCGCCTCTTCAGTTCCTGCCTCTGCCAGCTATGGAGGGAGCATTTAGGCAGGGAAACATGACTGTCCTTCTCTCTCCATTCTTGATGGCCGCAGGGGGACCTTCTATCTGGAAGCCAGGGGCCCTGAGGGAATCTGAGGCTGGGCAAAGGGCCCAGCGTGTCAGTTCCCATCACGGCCACACAGTCCAGCATGAGTCACCACACACTCAGCCAGGTGAGTCATGCAGGCCGGACACTCTGAGGACAAGAGGTGGCTGGGCACAGGATGCTATCAGGGGGCTAGGGAGGAGTAAGGGGGTCCAGCTTTTGGCCAGTCACGCAGTGAACGTAGTTTCTACTGTTCATGTAGGGCTTATTCTGCCAACAGGACCACTGTTCTACCCTGACCGTTAGCCTTGCTCTTTCCTTTCAGAAGTTCACAGCTCTCCTTAGAATATGGGTTGTCTAAACATAGGCAAGGCGTCTTTATGACCCCATTCCCCCACTGCGCTACTCTGATGGTCAGAGGATGGATGATGCTTCCCTGTCCTGCCCCCTGTACTAGCTAACCAGCAAAATGAAGGTGGGAACAGCTACTTCATCACTGGACGTGGCGTGAAAAAGATCTCAGTTTGGTACACTGTCTGACGACCCGAATATAAGAAAAGCAAAACAATGGCCTAGGCCAAGCTCGGACAGTGGGCTTAGCCAGTCGTGAGGGCTCACACTGAGTTCAGTACTAGGAGGCAGGTTCAAGGCCAGTCTGGTGAATTCCAGGTCAGCCTGGGTGTGACTCTTGTCTTTTTTTTTTTTCTCTTGTCTTTAAACAAAACTCAAACAAGGTGGAATGTACAAACTGAGGAGAGGGACTCCAGGAGTCCTAAAGCTGAGTGCTGACTTGGAAGCATTCAGTTTTAATATTTAAACTTCAGATACATGACTGTTTTGTGCATTTCACAGTAAAAAAATGCTGAGAATAAATAAACTATAGTAAGTTACTTCAGCACTTGTTAGGCGTGTGATCTAACATGGATCAAGGAATCTAACAGATCTTTGGAGGCCCCTATGACACAATGCATGTACATTAATGTGCTCGACACACTATGAAATGTAGGAGGAAAACTTTAGCTTCCCAAGGTGGGTGGTCTCCTGGGGGAGATGATTTAAGAATGGACTACTTAGGTCAGGTAATGGTGGCACACCCCTCTAATCCCAGTACTTGAAAGGGAGAGGCAAGTGAATCTAAAATGAAGGCCAGTCATGTCCATAGAGTTCCAGAACAGCCAGGGTTACTCAGAGAAACCTTGTCTTGAACAAACAAACAAACACACAAACAATGAATGAATGAATAAATGAATAAAAAGGACTATTTAAGTTTGTGAGGACTTTAAGACTTCCTGGACAGAATCCTGTATCTATTTTTAGATACATTGTTATCACTTTTAAATGATTCTAAATTCTGTGTGTGTGAGGGGGTGTGAGTGAGTGCAGGCTCCCCAAGCGGCTGGAGGTGACTGACAGAGCTAGAGTTACAGAGGCTCTGAGCCACCTGACAGGGGTGCTGGGTCCTCTGCAAAAGGAGGTACGTACCAGTCAAGTCTGAGTCATCTCTCTAGCGCCTCACTGTGTATACCATAGGAATAGCTTTAGGACCTCATCCACTCTCCCCCTCCCAGAAACCAGAATAGTTATAAATAAAATCAACTCCTCTAGGGGGCTAAATAGGAGGAAGTGGGTGCCATAATGTGGGCCTCTTCCTCCTCAAATCAGCCACTCTAATTACACCCTGGTCCCAGAGACACTCACCAGCTGTCAGAACCTGGACCTTCCACGGATGTGCAGCCAGGGCTCTCTGGTATGCCCGCCAGAGTGCCATGCCTCCTGCCAAACCAAGAGGAGAAGTCACTCCACTGCCCATCCTCATAGTAAAAACCACGCCTGCCATTTCCTATGCTCACTCTGTAAGTGACAGAGGCCTCACAAAGGCTGCTTACTGGGCGGTGTCCTGCCTCAAGACCACTTCAGACAACTGGAGAAGAGGCAGTCGGGTAACTTTAGAATTCCAGAGGCTGCCTCTGCTACCCCAAACCCGGTCCTGAAGCAAGGCTGACAGGGCTGCAGACCTGATCCAGACACTCACGAGGTCAGATTTACACTAGCTTCCACCCAGAGTCTAGGTTTCCTCGCCCCACCCCTGGTAAACTTGATAGGTCTCCAAATGCAGACTCAGTTGGAACTAAGCCGCATCCTTTCTGAGTGCAACTCCACACCGGAAATAAACCACGATCTGAGTCTGGAAGGTCACATGACTTGGAGGCGCTTCTGGCCCGCAGCGCTTCAAAGCACTGATGGCCAAGAATCCTCCACTCACCTGAATGCTAGCAATGCGTGGAAGCTTCTCCCACGTGACTGGAGCTGGCCGAGGGACTTCCGTATTGAGCCCCGCCCCTTCCGTCCGCATGCAGCCTGTCGTTTGGACACTTGCAATCCAGGAGAAATGAAAATGTCTGGGGCCCTCGATACCCATTAAGGTCACCTAGTGGGTAGCCCCCTTCTTGTGGATGGCACCAAATATCACTGTGGAGTCTGGTCTGTGCTTCCGTATACCTCGTCTGGTCCCGGGTTCCCAGGCTGTCAGCCTAGACGTCCCCACTATCCCAGTCTCCCAGAGCTGGCCCCGCCTGGATCCCCTTTTGTTTGGAAACTTGAATGCTGGACTCGAACTTGTTCTATTTTTGGGCTTCACAACAAAATGTTAAGCTTTGTCCTTAAAAGCGTGCACCACCACCGCCCAGCCAAAATCTTTTTCAATATGCAGTCGACTTCTACTGGCCTGGAAGAACCCGAGAGTGCCTGTTAGCTCCGTAACTGAGGCTGCCCAGCCTTTGTTAGGAGAGTTTGTGTTCAGTATTGCGTATCAGGGCTCCTCAAAATCTAGATGTGCAAGAGTGAACCTAATGGAGTTTTTTGTTGTTGTTTCTGGAGTAATTTTAAACAAAGAGTCATACAACTGTTTGAAAACCAGTTTGGGGACCCTTAAGCCTTTGTCCTGCTGTAATTCACCCAACCCACTGCAATTACCTTCCCCAGGTAGGGTAAAAATGTATCTACTCAAATGTCAAGAAAGCTCAACTTTCCTGTTCTGTCTGCTTACACCCAGCTCATGTACTCAATTCCCATATGATTACAGGAGGATGAATCCTATTAGCTACTAGAGAATTTGGATTCCTGTGTATTGAACATGCTAAAGGAATTTATATCAGTAGATGTAATAGGTCAAATGTGCAAGGTTGGAAAAGCATTTTTAAGAAAGAGTATGGATTCAAATCTCAGTGCCTGTTTTGGTAGTTATATGACCTTATTTAGATTGCTCAGCTTCTCAGAATCTAATCATTACATAAAATAGTATAAAGCTCATAACGCTCAGTAACATATGTAAAGCACACAAAATAGACCAAATTCATCCGTCCAGCCTTCTTTAACACATGAAGTCCTGGCCCTGTCCACCATACCCCTCCTTGGAGAAATACAAAAAGTTCCCAAGTGGAATTTGATCTGGTTTTTTTTTTTTTTTTTTTTTTTTTGGAGGGCAGGGGTATAGGGTGGGTGGGAACTGAACCAAGGGCTTTGTACATGCTAAGCACATGCTCTTCCGTTGAGCTACAACCCAGCCCTGGGAGGGATCTTGAAGGATGAACAGGATTTGGGTGATGCTGGGAAAAGACAACTGGAGACAGCGACAAACTAAGCTAAGGCCCAAAAGAAGAAAAGAGCAGGAACCAATGGATTATAAAGTAGATATACAAGGAAGGAAGAAAAATGAGAAAAGGCCCATGGGAGAAGAAAAAGCAGAAAACATCATCCACATTGTCTTCAGTTCAACATAAAGGCTGACTCGGTATCAGGAGCAGGCTGCTGGCACCAGCCTACAACCTGTCTTTAGTTCCCAGGCCCCACCTTCTCTACCACTGGAAGTAGGGAAACAAGGATGAGCTGTGTCAAGGGGATGCTCTGCAGGACAAGCCAAGCTTCTCTACAATGGAAGGCACTTCTTTATTAGTTCAAAAAGCAAGCCTGACACAGCCTAAGCTGGATCACAACAGACTGGTACAACACTTGGCTCCTTCACACCAACATGGGTTGTGGTCCTTCTGTGGCTTAAGGACCTGAGTTTCCTACAGGCCTGCTTTCTCTTTTATATAGGAAGGCAACTGACTACTGATTTTCTTCTGAAAGATTTTCTGGTATTTGATAAATCTTCTATACTATTCAGGCAGAAGGCTGTTCCCAGATATGACAGACCAGACTTGAGTGTGCTAAAGTCTAGGTTTGTTTCAGGCAATACTAATCTAGACTGCATCCCTTCCAAGAGGAAGCGGGTGACCTATTTGCTTCCTATTTCCTAGTAAGATGGTCTAACTACTTCCTTCCAAACCTCAGTCTGTACCCCTCTGTGTTCCATGGCTGTGACTTGACCATTTCCCATCACTGGGCTGCCTGTGTTTTCGAGGCAGTATCAGTCATATGAGGTGCAGCTATCCACGAGAGGACTCTATCCAGATGACAATACATTATTGGGTTCTAAATACTTTCTATACAGTTTAAACATGTTTAATATGTCAACAGTGTGACCATATCATGAAGATCAAAAATCATGACTTGTAAAAGAATGATTGAAATAACTAAAGATATTTAATCTAGAGAAAAAAATGACTTGAGAAACACATGATAGCTACTGTTAAGTACTGAAAAGGGCACTCACAGGGAATGACTACATCTCCTAACAACCATTAGTAAAATTAATAGAGGTATACTCTTGACTTGATATAAAGGAAGATTTTTTTTCTTACTTTTTGGTTTTATGAGATAGCCCAGACTGAATGCAAAATTATGATCCTCCTGCCTCGGCCTCCCAAGTGCTGGGATTACAGGTGTGCACCATTATACCCAGCTTCAAAAAATTTTAAAACACTATCTAGGAGTGTTCAAGTAGTGTCAAATGACCGATGATTGGGATATTTCATAAGCAGGAGCAACTAAAAGCTGGCCACTGTCCTACTGATAGGGAGTTTAGGATGTTCCTCAGTTAAAGTATAACAAGCAGCTTCAGTCCAATAAATTACTGTCACCCACTGGGCCTGTGTGTTGGTTATTCTAAAGAGGAAGATTGGAAGGCAATAATATCAAATCCTGGAATTCGACAGGAGCCTTCATGAAGATCCTTTCCGACTCTCCAAACACCCACTCACAAGTGGTCTCAAAAACACCCAGTACCTTTACTTAGCTTTACCTCCTTCACAATATGCTCAATATGAGCAATTTGACTCCCAAGCCTAGGTCAGGCCTGAGTGTTTCTTGTGAGCCACATTTTTAGGCATAGGAATTGTTGTGGAGGGGGAGCCCCCCTACCTGCAGGGAGCTGTGACCATAGAAGTCTGTGGAAGGAGAGGGATTTAAGGAGTTCTGGGCAGGTAGGCCTAAAGATCTAGGCCTGGCACCATCACTGTCCAGGAAGGGCCCAGGTCCTATGCTCTGTGCATGGGGGCCATTTGTTCTTGGCAGACTTCAATCCAAGAGGTTCTGCGTGGACCAGATTAGGGATTGGGGGGAAGGCAATGGCTGGTTGGAGAGAAACCAGGCCCTTCAGTTGAAAAGGAGGTTTGGAACATAGCATTGAAGTGGGCTCGGCTTTCAAGCTGTACACGGTGGGCCAGCGGGGAAGTGAGTCCACGGACAAAATGGATCCGAACCAGCCCTGACTGCCCCCCAGATACCAGCCATCCATAGGAGTCCAGGTTTGGGCTGAAACGTACCTGTGAAGAGAACAGAAAACCAGAAAGAGCCTCAGCAGTTGTGTCTTAAGGTGACCCCTAGATGTGTGAGCTTTAAAAACAGGTCACCCACCTTTAACCCCAGTACCCAAAAGACAGGAAGATATATATACCGCTATCTCTTTGAGTTTTAGGCCAACCTGGTCTACAAAGTGAGCTCCAGGAGAGCCAGAGCTACATAGAGAGAACACCCAAAACCAACCAACCAAATAAAATCAAGTCACTATCAGGACTAGACCATGAGATAATCAATGAGTGAGCTCTCTGTACCATGACCCAGGTCACAAAGCTGCTCCTCCTCTAGCCGTCTCTGCAGCCATTTAGTCTCTCACCTTGTGAATAGCTTCAAGTTGCAGCCTATCCAGGCAAAGCTGAGAATGCCCCTCTCCTTCCTGCATGCGCAGCATCGGTTCTCTACGGAGTAGATTGTGGAAGGAACTCTGGGGAACACAAGTAGAATTCCTTAGGATTGCCTGTTATCTAAGGTTTCTATCTTTTTCTTTAAGATTTATTCATTCATTCATTCATTCTGTACATTCAAGCAGTGCTCTGCCTGAACGACGGAAGAGGGCACCAGATCTTATTATGGATGTAAGCCACCATGGAATGCTGGGAATTGAACTCAGGATCTCTGAAAGAGCAGTCAGTGCTCTTAGCCTCTGAGCCTACTCTCCAGCCAAGTGTCTACCTTTTCTAATGCCACACTGACTTGTAGCCACAGCTTACCAGATCTGTATCCTGAAAGAGTAGGTAGTGGTGATTGATGGTCTCAGTGTACGTTCTCGCTTTGGGAGGATTGGGGGTCTCAGAGGTGGCCGAGGAATCTTGGTCTTCAGGGCTGTCCTGGTATGCTATCAGATCTGCTTTATAGATAGGCTAGGAGAAGACCAAAAATTAGTGTCTTATAATTTTATTTTTTATTTACAACTGCATGCATTCACACATGCCAGTATGAGGAATTCAGGGCTAAATTCAGCACATGTGCTTAGCAGACCATCTCTCTAGCCTTAGATTTCTTTTCTTTTTGTTTTTCTTTTTCGTTGTTTGCTTTGAGGCAGGGTTTCTCTGTGTAGCCCTAGTTGTCCTGAAACTTGCTTTGTAGACCAGGCTGGCCTCTGCTTTCTGAGTGGTGGGATTAAAGGCATGTACCACCACCTGAGATTAGATTTTAACATACTGAACACAAAAGCAGAAAGTAAACTGGCTTACTATGGCAAAGTCTTAAAAGTAGTAAGAGCAAAAATACACTCCATGAGCCGGGCGGTGGTGGTGCACACCTTTAATTCCAGCACTTGGGAGGCAGAGGCAGGCGGATCTCTGTGAGTTCGAGACCAGCCTGGTCTACAGAGCTAGTTCCAGGACAGGCTCCAAAACCACAGAGAAACCCTGTCTCGAAAAACCAAAAAAAAGGAAAAAAAAGAAAAATACACTCCATGGCAGTCTGTGATGGTGCACCCCTTTACTTATGAGGCAGAGGCAGACGGATCTCTGTGAGTTTGAGGCCAGGACTACAAAGCAAGTTCCAGGACAGCTAGGGCTATCACAGAGAAACCCAAAACAAAACAAAACAGCAGAGCCAGTGCGGTGGCTGTGGGTAAAAGCTCTAGATGCTAGGCCTGGTAACTTGAGTTTAATCTTCAGGATCTATATGGTGGAGAGAGAGAGAGAGAGAGAAAAGAGAGAGAGAGACAGAGAGAGAAAGAAAACTGACTTAAAAGTTGCCTTCTGGCATGCACACCACCACCCATACACATATACACAAAATAAATATCATGGAAACAATTTTTAAAAAACATGCTCAGGCCCGGCAGTGGTGGCTCATGCCCTTAATCCCAGCATTTGGGAGGCAGAGGCAAGCGGATCTCTTGAGTTCGAGACCAGCCTGGTCTACGAGAGCTAGTTCCAGGACAGGCTCCAAAACTACAGAGAAACCCTGTCTCGAAAAACCAACCAACCAACCAACCAACCAACCAACCAACCAACCAACCAACCAACCAACCAAACACACACACACACACACGCTCTGTTCCAACAGGGCAGAGAAGATTATACCAAATCCCTTGCCATAACAAGGACAGTATCAGAGCTTGGAGACCAAGCACTAGTTTGCATTCTACCAAGAGCTGATGAGGCAAGTAGATTATGACCTATAGATAGATGTTCGTATACTCACAAATCTTCTTTCTGCAGGTTTCTTGACATTAATTGGGTTTGATGCCATATCAGGTAAAATAGCTGCAATGAGCTCCCCAGATATATCTCCTGCAGCTACTGTCCCGAGCCAGTCTGAACCTGAAAGACTCTAATAGGAAGAGAGCAAATTTATTTCATCCATCTACTCATTCATTTGCCTGTGATGGTGACTAAACTGTCTGAGGCTGGGGAGAGAGATCCGGAGAAACAACTCAAATTCCTAACGATGGAATTATTCTATACCGTTAGTTCCTCCTTGTGCCCTGACTACTACAGTGAGCAAATGAGCATCTCCTGCCTACTGAACCTGGAAGAAGGAGCAGCTCACCCAGACGGTGCCTTTTCGTGGAGCAGTAAAGTAGGCTTTAAAACCAAGGTAACCAGCATCGATGTAATGAATTCCACAGAGTCCGTAACTATGAGAAAGAGAGATAGAATAAACTGTCCTTCTTCTAAGAATAATAAATTCTTTTCCTACAGAATTCAGAACAACCCAACCCTCCTTTCCCATTTCTGCTCCAACCCTTAGAGCCTGTCCCAACTCATAGCTTCATCTTGCCGTACGAGGCATAGCAGTTGTCCTGAGCCACGGTGACACCATTGTAGGGGAGCAGCCAGGAAAGCTCTGTACTCAAGAAGCGCTTGATACAATTTATTGGTTCATAAGGTCGCCGAAGATCCCAGAATTTGATTTTCCGGTCACTCCCCGCAGAAACCAGGAAATGACTGAAAGATGAGAGAACACATCAGAGCCAATATGGAAGAGGCAGCCTGCTACAGCGTTCCCTTCCACAGCCTTCATACTCTGTACCTGTTAGCTTTGCACCACTGAATTGTACGAACAGCCTGGTCATGGGCTAGGAAACACTGGAAGGGGTATAGCTTTAAGGAGCCATCAGAGAGACGTATCCGTTGGAGGGGTGAATTAGTGGGAAGATTCCAGAAAACCACCATGCCTAAAGTAGGGATAGAATATGTAGACATTAAAGCAGTGGTTCTCAACCTGTGGGTCGTGACTTCTTTGACAAACCTCTATCTCCAAAAATATTTACATTCGGATCCAGAACTGTTGAAATAATTTTATGGTGGGGTCACCACAACATGAGGAACTGTGCTAAAGGGCGGCAGCGTTAGGAGGTCAGGAACCACTGTGTTAAAGGAAGGGTGCTGGTTCTCTGCTCTCATTTCTTTCTTTGGGATCCCAGACTTTGTCTCCTGACTCTCAAATCCAAACTACAATGAAAGAGCAGGGATGATGACGACCAGCTGAGTTCTCCTGCCCAGCTCTAACACCCAATGCAACGTCAACTAAAAGTGGCAGTTTAGTCCTGGACCCGCACCTGAAATTTCAGTTTGAATGTATCTGACGGCTGCTAAATAAGTGAAGAAATTTTTTAAAATTTGAATTATGTGTGTGTGTAGTATTTGTCTGCGTGTGGGTATGCGCCTATGTGAGTGGATGGATGCCAGAAGAGGGCTTTGGACCTCCTAGAGTATTGACAGGGGGCTGTGAGCTGCCTGATGTGAACACAGGAACAGAATTCAAGTCCTCTGCAAGAGCAATACATGCTCTTAACTGCTGAGTCATCTCTTAGGCCTCAAAAAAAAAAAAAGTTTTAAAAAGTGCACATGGCTCAGGGCAGCGGTGGTGCACACCTTTAATCCCAGCACTTGGGAGGCAGAGTCAAAGGATCTCTGTGAATTCAAGGCCAGCCTGGTCTACAAAGTGAGTTTCAGGACAGGCTCCAAAGCTACAGAAAAACCCTGTCTCAGAAAAAAAAAAAAAAAAAGAAACAAACAAACAAAACCAAAAACAAACAAAAAAACAAGGCTAGCAAAGAAGAGGTATTCAGAAATGTAACTCAGATAAAAAGAAAAGATAAAGGACATTAAAAATCTTATATACATAAATGTAGCAAGTGTAGCATTTATGAACCTTTTTCAAAAAACAAAACAAATCAAATACAGTGAATTGCAGGCGAGCAATGAAAATAACGCAGCAGCGGAGGCAGGAGACTGAGCTGAGAGATCTCAGGGAGACAATCATTAGATCACTTCAGCTAAAGCAGCTTATCTCACATATGCAAGGGCTGTGTTCAATCCCCAGTACTGGGAGAGGTGTAACAATAGCAACACAGCACGAGCCATGTGTCCTGAAGATGAAATACCATCCGAGAAAAGCAGAAAACAGACACAAGAGTGACGTAGGTTAAAAAGCATTAATTTCCTCATCTTCTTGAGAGAAAGTATACTGATCTCTGAAAATGAGACTGTTACGTAAAAACAATAAAAGAGGAAAGATGGCTCAGGAGTAAGGCTGTCTGCTGCCAAACCCGACAACCTGAGTTTGATCCTACCTACATGGTTGAAAAAAAGAACCAACTTCTGTAAGTTGTCCTCTAACCTCCACACATTGCCCCTCCTTGAGTTAATAAGTAAATGTAAAAAATATGTAATTAAATACTTTAAATTGTACTTATTTGAAGAACTGGGGGATTATATCCAGAATCTAATGAATACTATGTAGGCACTTGCTAATCTTTCTATTTTTAATTTTGAGTGTCTAAAATGCCTGTGTATCCCTTGAGCTTGAGCCTCCTACCTCAGGCTCCAAGTAGCTGATTATAGCCTTGTACAGCAGGCCCACCACACACTGGATCCTGGAGCACTACGGTCAGCTGTGACCTGCCTGTATATGCCAGGAATCGAACCCAGGTCCTCTGGAAGAGCAGTCAGTGATCTTAACTGAGCCACTTCTCCAGCCCCAACACCTTTACATTAAACAGCTTACATAGTATGATCTTTACTATAAGGTTGTCCTTTAAATTCCCATGATGAACTCCTGTATTATCAGAGAATTTTTCTCTTTTCTATTTCATAGTGGAAACATTTATATTAAGTACATTTATTTCAAGCACATGATTCCATGAGTTTGACAGGTACTTGTACCAGGAAAAAAAAAAAAAAACACAAACAAGAACCCAAATATTTCCATCACTGTCAAAATTCCTTATGACTCTTTATAAATGAGGAAAGCAACTATCTGCATATCACACTAGTGATCAGCAGGCATTGCAGTAGCTGTTCTGAGCTGTATCCATGCTATATGTCAGGAGACATCATTTTTCTAAATTGCTGAGTACTTTAGTATATGTATATACCAGTTCTGTCCATCTAATTATTTATTTGAATTATATGAATTTATTTTGTATTTGTGTACCACAGCATGTGTATAGAAGACCATCTTAAGGGAGTCAGTTCTCTCCTTTGACTGTGAGAATTCTGGGGATCAAACTCAGATTGTCAGGCTTAGCAGCAATTTTACATTCTGGGCTGTTTATTCAGCTGCCCAGTACTCCCCCCCCCCCCCCCGGTCCCTCCCCGAGACAGGGTTTCTCTATGTAGCTCTGGCTATCCTGAAACTCGCTATATAGACCAGGCTGGCCTCAGACTCACAGAGATCCTCCTATCTGTCTCTGAGTGTCGGGATTAAAGGCATGTGCCACCACAAGCTAGCAGTGTCCAGTTCTTCTTAAAATTCTTTTAATTGGGCTGGGCAGTGGTGGCATAGAGGCAGATGGATCTCTGTGAGTTCAAGGCCAGCCTGGTCTACAAGAGCTAGTTCCAGGGCAGGCTCCAAAGCTACAAAGAAATGCTGTCAAAAAAACAAAAATAAAAACAATCAATCAAACAAACAAAAACTTTAAAGTAAAAAAAAAATTTTTTAAAATATTTATTATGTATACAATATTCTGTCTGTGTGTATGCCTGCACCAGACCTCATTACAGATGGTTGTGAGCCACCATGTGGTTGCTGGGAATTGAACTCAAGACCTTTGAAAGAGCAGGCAATGCTCTTAACCTCTGAGCCATCTCTCCAGCCCCCCAAAAAATATTTTTTAAAATATGTATGTCATGTGTGCCCTGACAGGCTGGAAGATGTCTGATGCCCTGGAGCTGAGTTGCAGATGAGTGGGCTGCCCGACACTGGTGCTAAGAACTGAAGATGGGTCCTCTGGAAAAGCAGCAAGGACTGTTTGTTTACAACTGAGCCACCTCTCCAGATCCCCTAAGTTGTTCTATTAACTTAAAAAATTATTATATTTCCTTCTTTTATGTGTGAGTCCAGGCATGTCACAGCTGGTGTGTGGGGGTCAGAGAACAACCTATAGCAGCTGCTTCTCCCCTGTTGTGGGGTCTCAGGGATCAAACTCAGGTTTATCAGGCTTCAGGGCAGATATCTTCACCTAGCCAGCACCCCCATTTAACTCTGAATTGACTTTTAACTCGCAAATATTCAATGTTTTCTCATCATTGTAGAGGATGTTCACATCTTTCTTTTGAGATAAGGACAGACTAGCCCAGGCTAACCTCAAATAGTTTTAGGTTTTTTTTTTTTTTTTTTTTTTGAGATAGGGTCTCTCTGTGTAACTCTGGAAGTCCTAGAACTTGCTCTATAGACTAAGATGACCTTGAACTCAGAGACCTGTCTGCCTCTGCCCAAGTGCTGGGATTAATGGTGTGTGCCATCACTACCGGCTCAAACACTTATTTTCTTCAAACTTCTGCAGTCAATGCTTTACTACTGAGTTATACCCCCAACCTTGAATTTCTGATCATCCTGCCTCCACCTCCCAAGCGTTAAGATTACAGACATGTAACATTATGCCTAATTTATGGAGAGTGAGGATTGAAAAAAGAAATACAAAGTAAGCATTCTACCAACTGAACTATATCCCACCCAATAATTTTCTTACTGGAAAAATTATAGTGACATTTCTTCTTTGTGTATTTTTTTTTACAATGCATGAATTTGTATAAAGATTTACTCTATTTTATGCATATGAGTATTTTTGCTTGCATGTCTGTTTGAGCACCATGTGCATGCTAAGGGCCCTGAGACCAGAAGGCTTTGGATCCCTTGGAACTGGAGTTATAGATAGTTGTGAGCTATAGGTGGGTGCTAGAAACCAAACCCAGGTCCTCTGCAAGAGCAGCAAATATACGTAACTGCTGAGAAATCTCTGCAGCTCTGATTTTAAACTATAATATAATGCTACGCTTAATCAAAAGAGAACACAATCCAAACCTAAGCACATATAAAAAGCTTAAAGAGCAACAGGTCTTGGTTTTTACCATTATAGTATCCTGCAGCCAGGTGGTGGTGGGGCCTGGTAGGCATCCAAGCCAGGCTAAGGCACTGACCACACTCAGAGGGGTCTGAAGCTTGCACAGACCCTACCTGAAGGGTTGCCAAACACTGTACCTGTAAGGACAGAAGAGCTGGGATTAGGATTAGGAGCTCTTACTGTTTGAAAGGAGACTCTAATTAGTTTTTTTTCCCCCTCAAGGTTTATTCTACTTGTCTCTAAGTGGCTTCTCTCTCTCTCTCTCTCTCTCTCTCTCTCTCTCTCTCTCTCTCTCTCTCTCTCTCTGTGTGTGTGTGTGTGTGTGAGCGTGCGTGCGTGAGAGAGAGAGAGAGAGAGAGAGAGAGAGAGAGAGAGAGAGGGTATGTGTGTACCACATAACGCCCACAGAACTGAGAAGAGGCAGGGTCAGATCTCCTGGAACCAGAGTTATGGTTGGTTGTGAGCCTCCATGTAGGTGCTAAGAACTAGACCCGGGTCCTTACCCTTACTTACAAAGTGTCTCCAACCCGCTCAAATCAGTTTTTCTTCTCTTTATTTTATTTATTTATTTATTTATTTATTTATTTATTTATTTATTTATTTATTTATGTTTTTGAGGCAGGGTTTCTCTGTGTAGCCTTAGCTGTCCTGGAACTCACTCTGTAGCCAGGCTGATCTCCAACTCACAGAGTTCGGCCTACCTCTGCCTCCCAAGTGCTGGGATTAAAGGCATGCGCCACCACCCGGCTGAGAAAGGGGATAATTTCAGAAGTGAAAGACTCACTGTAGACTCTGTAAAATAAGGCTCTAGGCAGATGCAGCCTCAGCTAAGTTAACAGGCTCCTCACTCACCTTGTAGATGGCAGGCTTCATAGCATCTGTAAGGAAGAAAAACAAGAATAGTAGATAGTTGATGCTTTGGATCCACAGGACTGAGCTCCTCCTCTCTCATGCCTCAGCAATGCCCTTCTTTCATTCTTTCTCTCACTATGTCCACCTGCCCCACTCTTTCACCAACACTAGCTTCCCTTCTATGAGAAACACTAACGCCTCCAGATGTTCTTCTCTCCTTTCTGTTTCTAGAACTCTGCTCATTTGCTCAGAACTGTTTTCATTATCCATGTTTTCTGTCCTTACTGACTTGTTCCTACATTTCTATGTAAATATGTTCTACTGTCTCTTCTATAAGAGTTATTAAACACAGAGACAAGTGTGGTAGTGTAGACCTGTAATCCCAGAACATGAAGTGAAAAAAGAAGGAAAAGAAATTCAAAGTTGCCGGGCAATGGTGGCACTCGGGAGGCAGAGGCAGGCGGATCTCTGTGAGTTCAAGACCAGCCCGGTCTACAGAGCTAGTGCCAGGACAGGCTCCAAAGCCACAGAGAAACCCTGTTTCAAAAAACCAAAAAAAAAAAAAAGGAAATTCAAAGTTATCCTCAGCTACATGGTAAGTTCAAGGCCAGTCTGGGCTACATGAGACTCTGCTTCAAAAAATTCAACTAAAAGAAGCATATAAAACCTCCTTTGGCGCATATTCACTCATTTATCTGCCTCCTTTTATATCTAAACCTTTTTTTTTCTTTATTTCATTTTATTTTTTTTTTTACGACAGGTCTCTCTACAGAGCTCTGGTTGTCCTGGAACTCACTTGAAGTTCAAGCTGGCCTTGGACTTACAGAGATCCAAGTACATACCTGTATCCCAAGTTCCCTATTATCTCCAAATTTTCTAAAGAAATTATCTATGAGACTTGTCCAATCTTTTAAGCTGCATGCAGCTAAGAATAGCTAAGAATGTGGCTCAACAGAAAATAGCAACTCTATTGAACACATTACCAGATTTTCCATGTTTTGGTAATTCAAGTGTGGAAATGAGCTTTGTAGAGGATATCACATCACGATGTCACAGTACTGGACAGGCCAGATGCCCTATGTCTGCCTCAACCTATTTCTCCAACAGACTACCAAACACCAAACACTCAAGGGCTTAAATCCAGACACCTTCCTTTTAAATATTTAAGTATTGTTGGGGAAAAAAATAGGATCTGCCTTTTTTAACTCTTCCTAAAAGATACTGATGGAGGAGGGTCATGTATCTATGTGTTACTCTCACTGGTTAATAAAGAAACTGCCTTGGCTTTTTGATAGGGCAGGATTTAGATACGTGGAGTAGACAGAACAGAATGCTGGGAGAAAGAAAGCATAGTAGGTCAGACGTGATGAAGCTCCAACCCAAGATGGATGTAGGCTAGAATCTTCCCAGTAAGCCACCACCTCGTGGTGCTACACAGATTATTAGAAATGGGTTAATCAAGATGTGAGAGTTAGCCAGCAAGAGGCTAGAGATAATGGGCCAGGCAGTGTTTAAAAGAATACAGTTTCCGTGTAATTATTCTGGGGCTAAGCTAGCTGTGCGGGAGCTAGGAGGGGAAGAAAAGCAGGCTTGCTCGCCTCATCACTACAAACGGCCCCTACAAGATACTGCCTAAACACAGGTGAGGGGAATCCTGAGACCAGCACAAGGGAAACAGAGGCAGGTGGATCTCTGTGAGTTTGAGGCCAGCCTGGTCTACAGAGCTAGTCCCAGGACAACTAGGACTGTTACACAGAGAAACCTTGTCTTAACAAACAAACAAAAAGAAAACCTGAAGTCATATTTCCATCACAGAAGTCTGCCTAATCAAGCTTTTATGCTCGAGACTATCTGGGTCACAGGAGTTAGACAGGCTGAGAGTCCAGCTACCACCACTGTAGTAGTTGTGCTACTTGCCTGGAGGCTGCTGAGCCAGGAGGGCCTCAGGATGCGGCAGACTGAACAGCAGTACCTTCCCATCTGAGCAGGCCAGGGCTAAAAGACCCAGCCGAGGCAGAAGAGGAGCCTGGGGGGGGGGGGGGCAGATCTGTGCTGGGGTTTGCTGCTTTCAGGTGCCTCTCAGAAAACCTGAGGCTCTGTCTCTCAGAACAGGACATGGGATTTCTGGAAAACCCCCACCCACCACACTCTCCTTCCTCCAGCCCTAAGACCTCCAACAGCTAGCCCACAGTCAACTAGAAGTACCTTCCGAGGGGTTTCTGGATGTTCCCATGCCCCACTGGGGCAGAATTTGAGGTCCCAGATACATCCACTGTCACAGGCAATCCCATAGACAAAGTGGGCCCTGTTGCCAGGACTGGGGAGAGAAACATGGGACACAGTAGGTAGGAAAAGCCTAGGACTAACAGCTCCATTTCCTCGTCTCATCTCAGTGCAATGCAAGCCCTTCCCCAGTCTCATTTCTCCCTCACCCACCTGCCTGTGGCAGTGTCCCAGCCCCACCTCACCAGCTTTCTTGCTGCAATGTCCCAAGGCCCCAGAGCTGCAGCAGCCCAGGGCCTGAATGAAGCTGGCTCAGTGGGTGTGTCTCATTCATGTCTGGGCTGGAGAAAAGGGCCACATACTGTGAGGCTGCTGACCCTTCAGGCACTGGGCACCAGTCCAGAGCCCAGAGTGGTCCTCCTGTGAAGAAGGACACATCCCAGCGCTCTGGGTGTGCTGTGATCGAGCTAAATCTGGAGAAAGGTCAGAGAGTAACAGAGATATTAGGAAATGGAAGGTCAAAATGGCAAGTCCCACTGAAACAGATGACCGGCTTATATGAGGCTCTGAAAATTAGCCCGTGGCTGGAGGAGGACTCGCCCCCACTCACGCTTCCCTCCCTTCACTCTCAGAAATGAACACCAGCTCACTTCCAAAGATGAGAAGCTGTTCTTTCATGCTAAATGCATGCCATCTTGTGACTTGGACTGCCTGAGCCTCCAAACATCTCTAGTCCAGCTTGGAGAAAGCTGAATACTGTACATTACAGAGGACTAGCTTGTTACAGCTGGACTCTATTCTCAAAACCAACCAGACCAGCACTCAGGAGAGGACAGGGCTAATCTGTTAATCCTCGAAACATGTGGTTTTCCTATTTCTCTCCGAGAATCAGAGAAAGGGCTGAGTGGCTGTCTTTTACCTGTTTATTCTGTAGATTGTGCCATCCTCAGGAATTCCTTCACGGTGTACCGAGAACAGGGGGGACTTCTCCTCCTGTGGCAGGTAAGGAGCTGCTTCACTGCAGGAAGCAAAAACATTAGCTTCAACTCAGAAGAATTTCCCCGCCATAGAATTCCCACTGTACACTAAAGAATTCATGGTTGGGGGCTGGGGAGATGGCTCAGAGGTTAAAAGCACTGACTGCTCTTCCAAACGTTATGAGTTCAATTCCCAGAAACAACATGCATCCGTAATGAGATCTTGTGCCCTCTTCTGGCCTGCAAGCATATATGCAGACAGAATACTGTATACATAATTAAATCTTTAGAAAAAAAATTCTTTGTCACTTGTCTGTCCTCTCCCTCTTCTTTGAGGACTTTGGTGGGTTTTTTTTTGACAGGGCCTAGAATTACCAATTAGGTAAGTCTGGGGGCATACCTGTGAAGGATTACCTAGATTAGGTTGGCCTCTGGGTAAGTCTGTGAATGATTTTATTAGGTTAATTGGAATGGGACAATTCACCCTAAATGTTCACGGGCTTGGGTCCTGGACTGGATAAAATAGCTGAGCACCCACTGATCTCGACTTCCCAACTGCAGATAAAGAGCAACCAGCTGCTTCAAGGTTCTGCCAGGACTTTCCCACCATGACTCGCAAGTGCCTTTGACTCTGTGAGCCAAAAAAAAAAAAATGCTTCCTACTTTTGTCAGATTATCCTATCACGGTAATAGAAAAGTAATACAGCTTCAGGGATGTCAATCCAACTTACAGTTCCGATAACAGCTGCCACTTCCAGGCTACTGGAATCCATTCAGCAAACTCCCAGAATGAATGCTGCTGTTCTCGGCTAGAGAGACAGAAGTATCATCAGTGGAAAAGGAGACAGATTCTACACGGCACTGTCTAAAACCATTTTCTGCGAGGGTGGGAGTAACCAGCCCTTAAAATGTGGTCAAGTAAAGAAAGATCTTGCCCTTAACAGTTTTTCTAAGTAAAGATGTTACCACCACTTTCTACATTAGCAAGGGCTTCCCTCTTTCCAGATGGTCCTTATATTCCTCCTCCACCCCCTCACCCTCACAGTCCCTGTCCCCAAAGCTCACAGGTCCTTGGTGAGGTGCAGGCACTTCCAAACAGGAGCCATGATATAATTGGGTAAGCCATTGGGAGCCATGCCCCGACAGTGTGGTTTCTGCTTCTGAGGATCAAATTACAGAAAGTATAAACATTCTAGGTTGGAGAAAGTCCCAGAAGATAGCTTTCTTTCTCGCTTTTTAACTTTCTTTGGTTTTTACATATCCTCCCAACTGCCCTATTAGCATCTACATAGACTTGTGGTCCAATTAACTCTAACTATTGAAGCATTCTCTGGTCTCCTTCCCCAGAGGACTTGCGTACACTGTGCTGAAACTCCTGCCCTGAGGGACAGTGCTAGTGATTCCTCCCACTGCATTCCTTTAAAGACACTCACTCCTCAGACAGGTCAAGGAGCGCATTCTGTACACACAAAGTCCTGGAATCTCACCCACATTCCAGGGATGACTACCACCTTTAAGCCCAATTAGAAAGCTTACAACATTATAAATTTGGCTCTGTCACAACTTTTCTACAAGTTGTAGATCTATAGAACTAAATTAAGGACTAAAGTAAAAAGAAAAACCAGACGTCAATTAAATTAAGAAATAAGTGAATAAAAGTATGGTGGTTCATGCTTCTATCCCCAGTATTTGGGGGAGGAAAGAGACCCGATCTAAAACAAAACAAAACAAAGCAAAAAAGCAGTGGAGAGGGGCTGAGAGATGCTCAGAGGTTAAGATCACTGACTGTTCTTCCAGAGGTCCTGAGTTCAATTCCCAGCAACCACATGGTGGCTCACAACCATCTATAATGAGATCTGATGCCCTCTTTTGGCCTGCAGGGATACATGCAGGCAGATGCTGTATACATGCATAATTAATAAATAAATCTTTAAAAAAAAAAGCAGTGGAGAATGACAGAGGGAGACATTCAAGGTCTAGCTCTAGCATCCACACACATGCACATACACTATGCACGTGTACCAAGTTTCTTCCTTTCTATGCTGGCTGAGATGGTGCACAACTGCAATGCTAGTACTAAGACAACTGCAGGAGGATCATGTCTGAGACCTGTCTGTAGTAAACAGAGTTAAAGCCCAGCTTGCAGTATAAGAACATGACTAAAGGCCGGGCGATGGTGGCGCGCGCCTTTAATCCCAGCACTCGGGAGGCAGAGGCAGGCGGATCTCTGTGAATTCGAGACCAGCCTGGTCTACAGAGCTAGTTCCAGGACAGGCTCCAAAGCCATAGAGGAACCTTGTCTCGAAAAACCAAAAAAAAAAAAAATGAACATGACTAAAAAAGTTACTAACATATCTAAAAGGATGGCTCAGCAGGCTAAGTGCTTGTTGCCAAGTCTGATGTCCTAGGTTGGATCCCTAGGACCCACAAAGGAAGAAAGAACTGATTCCCGAGTTGTCTACTGACCTCCATACTCACTCTGTAGCATTCAAGTACCCACACACTTAATATGTACTATTTTTAATACATATGTATAATATATGTTATATACACAGACATATATAGACATATATACTTTTTAATATTTTGGATTTGTTGCATTTTTTTTTAAATTTATTTATTTATTAGGTATACAATATTCTGTCTGCATGTATGTCTGCAGGCCAGAAGAGGGCACCAGACCCCATTACAGATGGTTGTGAGCCACCATGTGGTTGCTGGGAATTGAACTCAGGACCTTTGGAAGAGCAGGCAATGCTCTTAACCTCTGAGCCATCTCTCCAGCCCTTGCATTTTTATTTTTAAAAAATAAATATTTTTGATCTCAAAGGATCAGTTTCTTAATTACTGAGGGTCTCAGTGCTCCCTTAAATGTGCTCTCAAGGCAACGAAAGCACTGGGAGACCATACAATTATACTATGGACTCATGGCCCACAGGCACTTCCCAAATTCCACCTATCAGAAAGGCAATTCATCATGTCCCCAACATCTACTTCACATGATGTTCCATAGCTGGAACACACCAGTTTCTCCTTTTTCTCTCTCTCTCCAAGCCCTGTGAATTCTCTTATCTCCCTAAAGGGGTCTCACCTCTGCTTGTTTCATTGGTTGGTTTAGGATTCTGCAAACTTTCATCTGGATAAATGAAAGCTTCTGAATGTCAAGTGCAGTTTGTCCTATTTCTTACCCATGCTCTTTTTCAACTTAAAAAGAGTCTGCAGCTTTAGCTGGAAATGTTAAAAACAGTTTTGGAAATTGTCAGTTTTGGTGGCACAGGCTGAGAATTCTAACTGCTCAAGAGGCTCAGGCAGAAGGATTGCAAGTGCAAGACCTGCCTAGGCTGCACAGTGAATTTAGGGCCACTCCAGGAAACTCAGTGAAACTGTGTCTCAAAATTTAAAATAGAAAAGTGGGGCTGTAGTGGCGCACACCTTTAATCCCAGCACTTGGAGACAGAGGCAGGCAAATCTGTGAGTTCAAGGCCAGCCTGGTCTACAGAGTGAGATCGAGGACTGGCTCCATAGCTACTGAGAAATCCTATCTTGAAAACCAAAAAAACTAAAGAAAAGAGAACTGGCCTAACATACGTGAGTGCTTGGGTTCAATCCCCAGTACCACAAAGAATAAAACGTTTCAGACATGGCGGGTAATGAGAGCTACACAACAGTATAGATATGTGTAAGTTTATGTTATGTATTTCTATCTCAGTCAAAACCAGCATGTGTTGGCGCGTACTAGTGCAAGCCCTTCCATCCTCCCTACAACATCATTCACCCAGACCCTGCTCATCTGCTGCAATCACCTTCTGGGGAAGCACCACAGCTCCTGGAAACCTGTACTTGCCCTTCAAGGCCCAGCTCAAGTGTCGTCCCTCTGTGAAATTTGTGCAGTCAGTTCCCCTCCCCCATCTCTAAGTCATTCTGTAGCATTCAGTAGAGAAGCAGGATCCTTTTCTAGCAGAAAACACTCCGGCGTGAACCATCTTATTCACTGTGTTCTTCCCCTATAACCTCCCCAATACATCACATTTTTGAAGTCTTTCCCTCTTTTGATACTAGTTTTGGCTATGAAAGAGCAAAGGCATTCTCTTGGGTACTCGATGCTTCCTAAAATTCTCATTTCCCCATACTTTTACATCAACTCAAGTTACCCCTGCAGTGGGTCCTCGTGGGGTGCTTCGGGGTGCAACAGGCTCAGGATCAGATGAGTTCTCACTTGGGGCCTCACTTTCTTCCTCATCTTCACCCTCGACCTGAAGAACAAAGTCTTCATCCCGAGCGCTGCCGTCTTCATCACCCTGAGAGGTTGCTTGCCGGGTCTTCTTCGGCTTGGTGGGGCTGCTCACCTTGGGACTCTTAGGACCTGACAGCGGAGCAGGCAGGGCTGTTGAGAGCTCTTCAGCCAGTTCCTGAAGGTACAGAAGTGCCCTGTGGGACAGGTTGGAGTCAGAGCCATGTTCACAAGCACTGAACAGAGCCCACATTTCCAGACTTTATTATTATTTTACTGATCTCAGAAATGCTGGGAAGCAGCTGCCAGTTTCCCCTTCCCTCCAACAGAAGCAGAAACAGAAATCCAGAAAATTAAGTGATTTGGCATAGGCAAGCCAGATACCAAGGAATATGAGTTTAAGTTTTCTAATTCTAGGCCAATACATTCTTTACTCTACCACATAGAACATGAAGGGCAAGGGAAAGAAGGAAAGGCACATAAACACCGAAATATATTGAGTGGTAAAAGCAATGAAGACCTGGGGGAAGTCTGTGAAAAATGTGATGGAGAGCCAGGTGTGGTGGCGCACGCCTGCGATCCCAGCACTCGGGAGGCTGAGGTGGGAGGATCGCAAGTTCGAGGCCAACCTGGGTTAGGCAGCGACACCCTGTCTCAAAACAAAAACAAAACAAACAAAAAATGTGATGGAGTATGAGGTACAGAAAGAAATCACTTAAGATACAAAAGTTAGCAACACATACCACAAAAGTGGCTGTAAGAGCTAAAGGGCTGCCCCACCCAGAACCCAGACACCACCCCTACTTACCTGACACCTCACCAGTCTTCCCATCTCTCCAACATCTGCCCCACCCTCCCCTTCCACAACCACCCCTCCACCAGGCTGTGCCCCAGAATCCTTACACTTGGGCAGCCCTTCGGCGGGGTCGTTCCCCAGAAGGGGTCTCAAAGTCCTCAGGGGGCCTCTTTGGATGTGGAGACTCTGGCTGATCTAGGCCTTTGGACAACTTCAGAAGTAGCAGGTCTCCCTTGGACTTTTGACTTCGTTTCTTAGGCATGGGGGTAGACAGAGGGTTGGACTGATCTAAGAGACCAGGAACCAGAGGGGTGGATGGAGGTTTACGCTGCTGAGACCTTTTAGGGCCTCTTGGTGTCCTACCACCTCTCCTCCCGGAAGGCTTTGAGGCCCTAGGGTTTGAGACCTTTGACATCTCTGAAGGAAGATCTGTAGAGAAGAACATGGTCTATGAGATGGGATCAGAACTCAAGGTTCTTTGGAGTACAGTATATGGTACCCAAGTTTGTAAGAACCCATGAGCTCAGCATGCTAAGCATAGAAAGACAAGAAGAGCAAGGGCCAGGCACATACCTTGCTGTTCCAACCTGGTGAGGTTTTCCTGCTCTGGAGGAAGCCTCTTGTCAGAAGAATCCTCAAACCCGGGTAAAGGAGTAGGCAGTGACATCTCGATAGAAGTCTCCACACTGGATGTTTCTGAGGAGGCCTTGACATCCAGCTGGTTTAGTTCTTCTTGTCCAGGAGAGTCTACCACAATCATGTTCCCCACGGGGTCGGCCTCCCCCAGGGCAACATAGCCGACCCCGCAGGTATCCATCAGCACCCCCCAAAATGGCTGCCCTGCATACAGAGATACAACAATGAGTGGAACACTGAAGCTATTTGTAGAGGCTCAGATTTTTCCCTTTCCCTTCATCCCACAACCAGAACCAAGCATCCAGATCAATCATTCAATTATTCAAACAACTACTGGGGAGGTAAGATGACTTAGTAGGTTAAGGTGCTTGCTGCCAAGTCTGATGACTTGAGTTCAATCCCCCGATCCACATGGCATGCTGTAAGGAGAAAACCAACTTGTCCAAGTTGTATTCTGACTTCCACATTCTCACGTGTGCCCCCCTCAATAAATAAATAAATGCACCCCCAACACATAACTATTATGTTAAGCATTGTTTTAGGAACTAGTAAATGACAAGACAAACAAGGAGCTGAACACAGTAGTGCACACCTGTAACCCCAGCTCCCTGGAAGCCGAGGCAGGAGAGGTGCTTTGATTTTGAGACTAGCCTGGGCTACACAAGCCCCTGTTTCAGAAAAGAAAAAAAAGAAAAAAAAACAACAACAACAGAAGACAGGCAAGATGCTACCTTCTTGAGATTTACATTCTCATGTAGCAGACAATAAGTAAGTAAACAATAATAAGCTACTGTTTATTAACTGCTTACTATATACCAAATCATTATACTTTATGAACATTACTTAAGCCTCATATATCTTCATAAAAATATGAAAGTGAATATTCAATTAACTTAGTTCTTACTAAAAATAATAAAACAAATCATATTCAGATTCCCCACCACAAGGGAAAAGGAGATAAAAATTATGCACCTCTAGGGAAGAATTGTAACTTTCTAAAAAATAGACTAAATAACAGCTCCCAAGCAGGTGTGACGGTACAGAGCAAAGTCCTGGCTACTATGGAAACTGAAGCAAAAGGAATCTGGGACCAGCTTGGGATATAACACAGCAAGTCTCGTAATGATTAAATATACAGAGTTGCCAGATACTATAAAACTGACACCAAACTAATGTAGGGTACCCAGAGGCAACATTCATTTCTGTGAATATTCAGCAAAGGGACAGATTTCCTTAAGAATAAGAGTAGTACTGAACTAAGTGGGATAGCACATTATGAAATCCTAGCACTTGGGGGATTGGAGACAGAAGTTCACGGCTAGCCTGGGCTACATGAGATCATGACGAGAGAGAGTTAGTTTTCTGGAACCTAGCCATCAACGTACATTTGAATTGGGGAGAGGAGGTGCCTACTGGCCAGAATATAATTAAAAATCATCCTATCACATTAAAAGAACTTCCTCACATCAAAAAATGGACTAAAGTGTCCCAAATCTTTATGAACCCAGAAAAATCAGATAGATAACCACAGACCAAGAAGGAGATTGGCAGAAGTAAAACATTGACCACAAACAAAAAAAATTGGCCAAACACAACTTTGTAAGGATCTAGATTCTGGTAAGGGCAACCTGTTTGCCTTTGACAAGAGGCAGAAATAGTTCAAATCCCAGAAGGGAACCCTCCATAGGTTAAGACAAAAAGTAAAGAATTCATCAGCCTCAATGGAAAAGTGTGCTCGCATAAATTCTAAAAGAAAAATACACGCTCAGGCCCCCACCCCTCCTTACGAGTAGCTCCAGCAATGGCAGCAGTAAATCTCTAACCCATGTGTGAGGGCGCAATGCAACCTCATAAGCTGCGGATGGTAGCGCTGCTCTTTGAAGGCCTGTATCTCATTCAAAACTAGTAATAAGTAAAAAAAGAATCCAATGTAGGATCTATACACAGACAGGACAGGAAGAAAAAAAGTTGAAAAGTACCTTTCAAAAGAACTATTCCAGAAAACAGAAGAAAATTTTCAGCAAACACAAAAACTACAGGATCTAGGAAACAAGAGAAAACAATGGCAACGTGGTTTGAGTAAACAGTCAGCTATAGGGAAAGGAATTATGTAAAAAATAAATTCTTGCCGGGCGGTGGTGGCGCACGCCTTTAATCCCAGCACTCGGGAGGCAGAGGCAAGTGGATCTCTGTGAGTTCGAGGCCAGCCTGGTCTACAAGCGCTAGTTCCAGGACAGGAACCAAAAAGCTACTGAGAAACCCTGTCTCGAAAAATCAATCAATCAATCAATCAATCAATAAATAAATAAATAAATTAATAAATAAGTTCTTGGAGATTATATACACAGGAAGAGAAACAGCAAATTAAAACTATACTGCTAAAAAGTGAGATGAAGGGCAGGTTTGGTAAAAGCCAGATTGCAGAGAGGGAAAAAGAGTTAGTGACAAAAAAATGACATAAATGGAGGAGAGGTGAGGGGTTAACAACTAGTAATTTATGGCTTTGCTGTTGTTTTTGAAACAAGGTTTCACTATGTTGCACAGCCTGGCTTTGAAATGACAAAATTTGCCTGCCTCTGTTGGAATCAAAGGTGTGCTCCACCATCCCTGGTTTAAATAATTTAGGTTTTAAGAAAGAAGGCAAATGTAAGGGCATATAATACTTATAATCCAAGGCCATCTTGTTTACATTAATATAGTTAAGACCCTAAATTAAACAAAAAAAAAATTAATAGAAGAGAGGGAGGACTGGTGGTTGGTACCTATAATCCCATCAGTAGAAGGTAGCAGAGGCAAAAGGATAGAGGCTTCCAGACCATCAGGGATACAGTAAGACCCTGTGCCCTCTCAAACTCTCCCCACTCCAAATACTGAAATAAGGAAGGCATCAATTTATAGATCAAGAAGGCGTGGGCGAGGAGTTGGAGGCTGGAGAGATGGTTCAGCAGTTAAGAGCACTTGCTGCTCTTGCCGAGGACCTGGATTTGGTTGCCAGGACCCATGTGGTGGCTCACAATCAACCAAAACTCCAGTGGTGCACAAACATACAGGCAGGCAAAGCACCCACACACGTAAAATAAATAAATGGCTTACTGTGCAAAAGAAAAACATGATCAATAAAGAATTACTAAGACCTGAGTCAGATGGTGGTGGAGCGCACCTTTAATCCCAGCACTTGGGAGGCAGAGACAGGCAGATTCTATGAGTTCAAGGCCAGCCTGGTCTACAAGAGCTAGTGCCAGGACAGCTAGGGCTAGACACAGAAAAACCCTGTTAAAAAACAAAAAAAAAAAGTTATTAAGACCAAAAATATTTGAGTGACAACGCTAAATTTCAAAAAGTACATCTATGTACATCTCATCTCTTATAGAGGAAATGGCATCAGGCCCACTTCAGAGTTCTCAAAAAAAAAAAAAAAAAAAAAAAACAATTTGAAGTCAGAAAATAAACAAAGGCTTGAGAAAAAGTCTTTACTAAGCTGGAAGTCATTCATGTAAAGGCAATAGCATAAAATTCTTTCCTATGGGCTAGACAAGCAGTTTGGGGATAAAGCACTTGCCTAGCACCCCCCAAAACCCTGGATTCAATCCCCAGAACAGAAAGGGAGGGAAGAAAGAAGGGAGGGAGGAAGATTTTCTGATAGAGAAGTTGTGATGTCGAAAGACTGCCAATATTTACAATAGACACGGTAAATTGAAATTAAGTAACTATGGTAACTATATTTATGAAACAAATTCTAATTTCAAATTTTAAAGTTTCAGTTGGCTATGATGGTGAATACTTGTAATCTCAGCCCTAAGGAGTTAAAGCTAAAGGATTTGGTGTTCAAGGCCAACCTGGAATAAAAATGTGTCTAAAACAAAGGCCTTGCAAAATGAACAACAACAAAAAACAAGCCGGGCGGTGGTGGTCCACGCCTTTAATCCCAGCACTCGGAGGCAGAGGCAGGCAGATCTCTGGGAGTTCGAGGCCAGCCTGGTCTACAAGAGCTAGTTCCAGGACAGGAACCAAAAAGCTATGGAGAAACCCTGTCTTGAAAAAAAAAAAAAAAAAAAAAAAAACCAACATTCTGGTTGTAGTGAATAAGACAAAAATCTATCTTCCTTGAAATTTTGTATAGAGCACTTGTTGGTTGCCTGATTTACTTCAATATTCAAATCTGATGCACGGTAAATACAACAATCAGCTCATAACTTTTTCACCAGGTGGTTCAACATACACCTTTATAAGTCCTTTAGAAGACTCACTTCTTATGAAAGGAAGTGGCAATGAGTGGTTTAGTGTATTTTTTCATTTGTTTGTTTTGAGATAGGGTTTCTCTGTGTAGCCCTGACTATCCTGAAACTAGCTCTAATTGACCAGGCTGGCCTTGAACTCACAGAGATCCTGCCCTTGCTTCCAGAGTGCTGGGCTTAAAGGCAAAAACGCCACCAATGCTCGCCGAGTGGTGTAGTTTCTACTAAGAAGTTTACAACACAAATTTTGGACAGGCAGTAGAGGAAGAACTGTTCAGCAAATTCTAGTTAAGAATTTTTACATTCCCAAATTGTCTGCTTTCCTTGCTGCTTCAGGCTGCTAACCTGACTACTTGGGTAAAAGAAAAACAATTAGATAACACTACATCATAAACATGGAATCACTTTTCACATACACTGTTCCCCAAAGTATTTCTATCATACAACTAGCGACATATGAGATAATTAATTTTACGGGTACACAAATGAACACTTTCATTTAGCTGCATTTTTACTTTAACTTGCACAGAAATCTGCAACTCACTACTCAGTTTATAGTGCTAGAGACTAAGGAGTGTAAACTTGAAAAGAACAATTTAAAACTCGTAAGAAAACGGCACTACAGGTGAAACCGGTAAAAGGCAACGCTAGCAAAAGATTGTTTAAATTTATATAACAATATGCCCCCAAGGGCAAACTTATCTGATTATATCCTAAACCTCTCCAGCAAAGTGAATTATCTCCTGAGGGGGTGAGGTTGCCATCTCAGTCTTGCCCAGCCGACGGCCAACTTGCCGCGGGATAAAAAGCCCAGACAAGGAAACATAACTGGCCCGTGGCTGCGCCAATGGGGTTGCAGCGCGCGGGGCACAACCCCCGGGGTTAGAGCCACTGGGAGGAAAAAGGCTGGGACACAATAAGAGGGGACTGAGCACAACGAGGGGGACTGACTGCAATCAGTCTAGACGCCACCACCTGCCATTCCCCAATCCTGGCCGTGGGGGCAGCTTTCTCCACCCGCCTGTGCAGCGGGAGAGCCTGATTTCCCTCGGCCTGAGGACAACAGCGGGTTCACCGAGTTCAAGGGGAGCAATGTAAGCAGCACGGAAGCCTGGAGCCAGCTTAAAGCGCTGCACGCACTGCATGGGGGAAGAGAGGCTGGCAGGGATGAGGGATGCTCAGTGGCCACAGTGGGGACTGAAGTGAGAGCGCGACGGTTTTCCGGGGACGCGCGGAGGCTGGGAGGCGCGCTGCGTTGCGCGGGGATCAGAGCGGAATAGGGAACCGGTTCCCAGTGCCTTAGCGCTACAGCGAAAGAAGGGGAGGAGTATTTCTAGGTCCCCCGCACACCCCGTTGCGGTACACTCACCCGCGCCAAAGTCCTTCCGGAAGTCCAAGTTCGAAGATGGCGCCGCCTGTCGGGTCGCGGTTTTATGACGAAACCTGAGCGGCTCTTCCCTGCCCCGCCCCCGGCACAAGGTAAACGCAAGCTCGGTCGGGAGTGCGTTCCCTTCCGAGTTTTCTACTAAACTCTGTGTTCCATAATGCAGCGCGGCGCAGCGCTGAGCCCTCCGACGCCCGCGAGCTGGAGCCCGGCTTCCGCGGCCCTGGGACACTGCAGGGCCTTCTGGGAATTTCAGCAACCGGAAGGGGAGGTCGGCGCCTGCGCGGCACCGTGGCTTCCCCAGCGGCCTTGCTGAAAAGCTTTTTGAAGGTGAGGTTGTCGCGCTTTAGCTGTCGCCCAGCGTTCCGAGCTGCCATTACTCAGGCTGTGGCGAACAGAGCCAGACCATACTGCTGCTTAACGGCAACCCCGAGCTTCGACGGACTAGGAGAGGAGCTACTGATATTCTGGTGCTAGTGAATGAGCAGAGACAGGAAGAAAATAGGAGGGCTTGGAAAGAGGCCAAGAAACGGAAGCGGGGGTGGGGGGAGCCTAGTCTGGGTGGGTACGCTGCGCTCCTAAAGAGCTCGTCAGCCCGACTGCCAGGCCTCCCGTCTTTGGAGGTAGCCTATGATGGAGGAAACAAGTGCAACAAGTTTTCCTGAATCATTTAAAACCAGATAAATTTTCCAGGTCTGCCCATACCTGTGCGGAGGAGGAGGGTGAAAAAAAATGAACAGGAAGGGGTGGAATAAGCCAGTCTTTCCTTTTCCAAATACTCTTGTCCATTAATTCCCTTGATTAAACATTTAAGAGAAGTGTAGAAGTCGGGTATAATGGTCCACACCTATAATCCCCTCACTGGGGGAGGTGGAGGCCAAAGATCAGCAGTTCAAGGTCATGCTGGACCAAGAAGTTGGAAGCAGCCTTGTCTCAGAAAACAATGAAAAATAAATAAGGGGAAACTGGGGTATGCTTGCTCCCCCTTGTAGTGCTTAGGTACTCAAAGCTGAAGCAGGAAGATCTCTTGAGTCCAGGACTTAAGGCCCTACTTGGTTAACCCTGACACTTAAAACCAAAGTATGGAGTTAGCCAAAACCTATGGGAGGAAAGAAAGGGGACACCCAGTTCTCTCCTGTCCCCTTATGCCCAGAGGCAGCATTTTGAATAGACGTCTTCTCCCCTCTTTCAGATACTGGCTCCTCAACATTGTGTAGGGAGTTACAGATTTACTTCTGTAATGAACACAATCTCTTAAACTCCTACCTCTGGCTTGGTGGTGGTGCGTGGCTATAATCCCTGAACTGGGAGGGAGACCAAGGCCAGCTTGGTCTACAGCCAGGGATGTGCAGAGAACCCCTTGTCTCGAAAGAAAAACCCAAACAACAAAACAAAAATTTTCCTGCCTCTGATTAATTTCCCTTTCACTTTGTCACAAAATTAATGGCTTTATTTTTGAAAAAAAAAATACTTTGTAGCTCAGAGTTCAAGACACAAAGGGCATCAAGATTATTTTCAAACTTCACTAACCCAAGGGCAGTTAACCCCTTTCTCTTTGTAGATTGTGTTTATGCTCAGATTCCATTCTTTCTCAATCTCATTCCTTTACCCTAAGTGCCCTGGAGCTAACCACGGACCTGCTTCAGCCTCCTAAGTGCTCTCAGTATAAGCACAAACCTCCATACCCAGTTTGTCTCAACAAAACGGACCGATGCTTTCTTATTTATGTGGAATAGCTAGTGTATGCACACATGTGGATGCCTTTGGAGGCCAGAAGGGTATGTTAGGTCCCTGGTGCTGGAATTAACAGGTAGCTATGAACCATCTAATATGGGTGCTGGAAATCAAATTCTGGTTCCCTTGAAGAACAGCAAGCACCCTTAACCACTAAGAGCCCCTATCTGGCTACTTTTAACTGTGTATACTCCTTATTCCACGTGCCTGTTTGGCGTGTAACTATATGTAGTTAGTTAGTGAGTGGGTAACTGTGTAGTTAACTATTTTGTTATTTACTGATACTGCTGAGTATTTGTGTGGTCTCTGGTCTTTTGATGGTGTTGCATTGTTGCTATAATTCATGTCTAAGTTACTTCAGACATGCTACTCTGTGGCTAGGCTGAATGCCTCAAAGCTGAGTTGCTGGCTCAAGGTTTAGGTAGGCACATTTGTAGTTTTCATTGAAAAGTATTTTGTTGAGTGTTCTGTGTCTTGGTCTAATGTCTTTTTTGTTTGGTTGGTTGATTGGTTTTGTTTGGGTTTGGTGCTTTTTTAAAAGTTTTGTTTCGTTTTGGTTTTGGGACAAAGGTAGCCTTTGTAGCCTTCGGTGTCTTGGAACTTACTCAGTAGTCCAAGCTGGCCTTGAACTAACAGATCTACCTGCCTCCCAAGTGCTGGGAGTAAAGGTGTGCGCCACTACCGCCCAGCTACGTCTCCAATTTCTTTTTTTTTTTTTTTTAATATTTATTTATTTATTATGTATACACTATTCTGTCTGTGTGTATGTTTGCAGGCCAGAAGAGGGCACCAGATATCATTACAGATGGTTGTGAGCCACCATGTGGTTGCTGGGAATTGAACTCAGGACCTTTGGAAGAGCAGGCAATGCTCTTAACCACTAAGCCATCTCTCCAGCCCCCCCCCTCCCGTCTCCAATTTCTTAATAGTTACCTTTCTGAGCATGAGGTTGACCTTGTTGATTTGCTTAAATTTGGTGACTGAGTGGTACATTCAAAAAGCCCACCAGATTATACTGACCTAAAAGTAAAGATTCCACTCGTAGTCCAAAGCCTGTAGGCTTACCCCTGAGATGGCCAAGATAGGTTTAAGGGTAGCCTGGGTTACATGACAAGATCCTGTCTGGGGGAAAAAAAACAGAAAACACAGGGACCAATTAAGTGTTTATCCTGCCTTTCCAGTACGATTTAGAGTTTAGAAAAACAAACTGATGTGAGGGTCTTACTCCCCACCCATTTCTTTTTGAGTAGGCTCTCTTGCTAAATAACAGCCGGTTCTGTCCACAAATTCGTGATTCTGCTACCTCAGCCTTCCCTGGGCTGGAATACAGGCACATGTCTCCACACTCTTTAAAATGATTGTCATTGCTAAATACGGAATGTGTGAGAGTTAGAAAAAAAGACACTTTTATATTCTGGTGAAATTACTATTCATTAGCATTTGGATAAAACCACTAAATAAAAGGTTCAGGGGAACCTTAAAATGTCAGGCCACATTTATCACTAAAAATAAAGTCACAAATCATTGTTTGCTTGTAGATACAAAGCAATATGAAATACTTCTATCCATTTAGGTATCACTGCCAAAAAGATGACTAGAAAATCATAAGGCTTAAGAGAAACAATGTAAGTGATACCACTTTAAAAGAAAAGAGGTCACTCGGAAAGAAATGTTTCTGTTGAGTGCAAAAGCCGGAACCCTAAGATCTACGGACTAGACAGGTGAGATGCTCTCCTACTGAGCCACATCCCAGCCTTGCTTTTTGAAATATAATAATAAGGTATATGGATTTGTTCGGGCTCTGATTCAGAGTGACCTACTGTAAAAAGCCAATTTTGAGGTCTGGAGAGATAGCTCAGCGGTTAAGAGCACTGACTGTTCTTCTGGAGGTCCTGAGTTTAATTCCCAGCAACCACATGGTGGCTCACAACCATCTGTAATGAGATCTGATGTCCCCTTCTGGCCTGCAGGCATAACACAGTATATATAATAAATATTAAAATATTTTTAAAATAAAAACATTTTAAAAAGCCAATTTTGAGTCAACATGAACATTTGATTTTGGATTAGATAATCCTAAGGAAGCATTATTTAGTATGTGTGAACTGTATTTATTTATTTACATTTATTTATTTTTGGTTTTTTGAGACAGGGTTTCTCTGTGGCTTTGGAGCCTGTCCTGGAACTTGCTCTGTAGACCAGGCTGGCCTTGAACTCATAGGCCCGCCTCTGCCTCCTGAGTGCTGGCATTAAAGGCTTGCACCACTACTGCCTGGCATGAAGAGGATTTTTAGGAAACACGCTGAAGTCTGCAATAATGAAAATGATCAATGTCTGGAATTTTCTCTACAATAACTTCAGCAAGGGAATAAAATAAGGACTGGGGAGATGAAGTTGTCATCTGACTGCCATCCCTGTGTACCCCTCCACAGTTCAATATAATAAAAACTAAAGTGTGGCATATTTCAGCCCTCAGGAAATGGCAGTGGGAGGAGCTTGAGTTCAAGGCCAGCACCAGCTATCCAGTTCACTGTTGTGAAACCAAGTGTCAAAGGAAACAAAAAATGGCAAGTTTTGATAATTGTTACATCTAATGATAAGTATTCTCACACAGTTTACTCTCCCTTTGTTCTATGTAGAAATAAAAAACCTGGGTGGTGGTGGCAGCACACCCTGTTAGTCCCAGTGCTCTGGGAGACAGAAGAAGGTGCATTTCTGTGAGTTTGAGGCCAACCTAGTCTACATAATGAATTCCAGCAGGACCGCTGTCCTAAAAAACAAACAAAAAAAATACACCTTTACAGATGATTTCTATTCCAAGGCTCAGGATCTCTTGGCTCTCACTAAAGCCTCAGTCTACCTTTGTAGCTTTATCTGTGAACATCACCGAACTTTACTCTGCAACGGGCTAGTCCTGTTTTTTCTTTCTTTCTTTGTTCGTGTTTTTTCTTTTTTTTCTTTTTTAAGACAGGGTTTCTCTGTAGCTTTCCTGGAACTAGCTCTTGTAGACCAGGCTGGCCTCGAACTCACAGAGATCCGCCTGCCTCTGCCTCCCAAGTGCTGGGATTAAAGGCGTCGCCGCAGCCGCCACCACCACCGGCAGCCGCCACCACCACCGGCAAGAACTGTTTTTTCACAGGAAGCTATTTCCTCTGCTGATCTGCCTCCTGGTTCTTTTACTGAGAAAGGATTTTCCAAGGACTACATTATGTGTCCCCATTGAAGACAACTATGCT